AGATTATGTTATGGAGAGCCGATTATTTTGATAATAGAGTTTAGTAGTAGCCTGGAACTCTCCTTTTATACTTATTATATCCATTATAATGATATTTTATACTTTAAGTATAAATATTCCGTAGCACAGACACGTGGATGTTATGGTACGTATATGTTTGCTGAGTTTGGCACTGTGTGTTTGATTGTTCTGTGTAGTTTTGTCTATTCTCGCCGTTCTTAGATAGGCTTTTCGTTGTGTGGTCGTTGTTGTGAGCTGTGTTGTGACTCTCGTCGTGGTCCGTGGACTTCTGGATGTGTTTTCAGTTGTGATATTGTAAGTGAGACGAGAGCAGAGAGGAACGCAACATAGTACAGCAGAGAGACAGTTCATGTGTGTCGGATAGATGTCGCATATGCAAAGCCTCCTTTTAAGCTAATGGTGCCATCGTGTTCTTGTTGTCTTCTCGAACACAAACTGTGTTGTTTTACACCACACAATAGGGCACGGACAGATATTCTTGTCCTCAGAACTAACTTGGGTGAAGGGCGGCTGTTTCCTCAAAATGCGTGGTTATCCATTGGCACTAACATGGTCCAATAAACCACCATCAATCCTCACTTCGAACACGCTCTTCAATATGGTCACAGTGTCAGTAGACATCCCTGGTCAACTTCCTCCGCTCCGCGAGCGTCGGGAGCCAATCGTTGACACGGAGACTCTCTACAAGAAACACGAATGGCGAAAGGGCGGCAATTAGAATTGGAATGGGTGGTTACATTGGAGCGCCTACGGGTACAAGATTTCTATGAGGTAGAGATTATTGTGGCATGACGCTAAACAACTGCTCAAGAAAGCATTAACAAAATGCATCTGGCACTTATCGTTCATCGTTTGACGTACTGCAATCCGATAGAATAGCTCAAGTGACGCAAAAGATGGCTTTCACAGCTGATATCCGAACACAAGCCATGGGTATAGGGTATTATGAAATCTGATTCTTACACGGAGGCACTCAACAGAGAAAACTAATGATAATCTATGGAATAACTCAACACGAAAGCAAGTAAAGGTAGTCTCTTTGGAGATCGTTCTCATACGGGAACCCACCAGGGCCTCTTTCTAGTCGCCAACATCCGCTTTTGCAGATCTACTTGGTGGGCCGTCGTCGTTTTGTAAGCCAGCCGAGATGATACCTTGAACGTGCAGCGCCTGACGTGTAAGAGTAATCATCGAGTAGATGCGGTGCATTTTGTGGATAAACGTATTTCCATTGCAATAGAAAATTTCATTTTTTTACACAGTCTGCTTTCTTAATCTCGACGCACCAATCGGTGATAAACCGGGGTTTTTCTTCAACGGCGGACCTAAATTTGCGTGGCTGCAGTAAATAGAAATTTCGATTCGAAGTTTCCATTCAAGTGAAAAATAAATAAAAGGATCATATAACTATAAATTGCTTCGAGTTTGTTCTCGACTTTTCTGACTATTTGAGAGGTTGCCCCTCATCTAAAAAGAATAATTTTGCTTGAAGTATCTTTCATTATTAAATACAATCATTTCAAAAACAAAAAAAAAACCAACTCTCTAATTCAAAAATGATACGATTTAGCGAACCCAAAAAATCAAAAAAAAAATAAACCGTATCCTAAGTCAAAAAAAAAAACTACATACACAGCCCACAATTTTCTGCCTAAAACCACTACTTCAATCACATATCTAAGCCAATTTCTAATGCCATCAGATCTTTGAGAATTAAAATTGGAAAACAAGTGTAGAACATTAATCAACCATATCCATATTACCATACCTTATGTCATCTTTTAATACACTTTTGGTAAGATATTCCGCGGTAACAACAACAACGTTTTTATTAACTAAAGCTTAACTAACCAACAGATCCTTCAAGCTTCAAGCTCATGAGCTGGTTCCTTCAGCACCAAACCTCATCAGGAGCTCATTGAACACACTCCCTGCAGAACCCAGAAATGATGGCTGCCATGGTCTCTCGTATCGTTCCTCTGCTGGAAGTGAATACTTGATGTTCCGCCGATTTTGGAGGTGTGCTTCGTGTTCGAGTGCGAGCTGAGGGGTTCTTTCCCTAATTTAGGAAAGGAAATGGATTTAAACCATTAAGCAACAAATAAAAAAACCTTCACATTTGTATAGCCAATGCAAGTAAAACACAGTGCACTGAACAAACGAAATCCACTCCAACTATACCAATCCAACGACGTGGATGCTTTAAATCATAATCAAAATCGTCTTTTTAGTGATTTTGTTTTCCATTCAGTTTCATGTTTCCCCCCAAAAAAGTGTATCTATAGCTATTAGGAATCAGAAACAATGGGATAGCAAGAGGGGAGGGAAAGGGGTTGCCAGGGTGGGAGGGAATTTGCAAGAGGGGGAGGGAATGAAAACTTGTTTTAGAGCAAGTGAAGCACTTGATTTTATTCACCCAAAAAAAGACGCTTGATTTTGTTTTCACTTTTTTTCTATTTTTCGAAAACCATATTCATTTATTTTTTGCAATGAAAGCTGTTACCAAATGTGTTCTCATGTCCGAATTTCAGAATTTTTAAAACAAACACATTACCAAACAGTCTCTTAGCTTCTACAATCATCTATAATATTGTGATAACATATGCCAACCATTGCCTATTCTTTTTTACTACTTCCTAGTATCCAAATGACTTTTAACTTATTTTGCAAATTTTATGTTAATAAAGAGATTAGTCTAGAATATTGTTTCCTAGTCAGATTAGGCTGTGTCTACTATAAATAAGTCGAAAGACTTGAGACAAATCAGTGTGTTTCGAATTACTAATAAATTTTCTGAGAGAGTTTCTATTCTTCAAGTGTTCTATGCTACATGTATTCTTACACTAAACAGAGACAGACTATTTTAAGTTAATCTCATTATGCAATTCTATTTCTACACACTTCCTTGCATCACTCACCATCTAATAAACTCCTCTCTATCTCGTGAATGCAGCCCCTCCAACCCTATATAATTTTTCAGTAAGCCACTTACCACTCTCTCTACCCACATCAAAATCCTCTGTTCTGCCCCATTTCATACCCCAGTAGACATATGTCTTACCTTTTGTCCGCCATGTGTTCCTTTCTCCACCACTTTTTCTACCCCCTACTAGCTGTCCCTCTTTTAAATTTGAAATGATCCACTGCTTGTTCTGATCTCAATATGTCCCATCTAACTGATCCTTCCCAACACACACTGCATTCACACGCCACCTCATTCCACACATCTAACACCTCTTTTCATTTCATGGCAACCCTAGAATCAGTCCTAAATCACAGACGAGAACTAGACTCTACCAAAATTTGAACTTCATACCTCAACAAACTCAAACTCAAACTCCTAAAGATTTTCTAGAACCATTAAACAACAAACTTTGCGACATCTGGTTCCAAAAAGAAGCAGTGCAATGTCAGTGCCGTAAAGGAGCTTAATTCTTGAATCTTCAAATTTAAAGGTGAACATACACTTCATACTATGTTTGCCATCCTTATCCCCTGCCCTAAAATGGACAATGGAGAATATTGATAAACCTACCAACATCAATTAGTGTAGAATATTGAGAACATCCCCTGCCTAAATATTTATCTAGCTAAACAGGGTGGGTAAAAAAATTATGAAACTTCCAACATCAATTAGTGGGAAAATAAAAATAGAAGATAAAAAACATAAATGTCTAAGGGTGTGTTTAAACCCCACAACTATGTCTCGTAATCAAAATATTATTTTCTTCCTTGATTTTCCTTGGATCTGGGTATGATAGGTATGATTTCCCCTTAACTCCAAAAGGGCCAATGGAGAAAAAAAAAAAAAAAAAAAAGGAAGGGTAGAAGATATAAAGATGAACCTATACCATACCATCAAGTTACAGTAGATTCCCTCGTGATATCCTTTTTTTTCTTTGATTGGTTCTCATATAGTCACCAGAATTTAGAAAGGAGCAGAAACTCATGAAGAAAGTTTTCACTCAACCAGCTGCTATATAAGCACGAGGAATATCTGAAACAGCATTTACAATTCGAGTGCTGATGGAGTTATGGAAAGAGTTCGGTGAAAGGACAACTCTAAGATTCTAAGGCCATGTTTGGTAGTGTTCTCAAAATTTGCATTTTTATTTATTTGGAAACACCCATCGTTTGTATCATTTTCATATTTGTGAAAAAACAGTTTTCAAAAAAAAAAAAATAAGAAGATAAATAAGTTGAAAGTATTTCCTTAAAAAAAGGTGTTCCAAAAAACAATCTTGAAAAAAGTTCTCAAAACAAGTTCTATGTATCAGTTCCAGTTGTTTCCATTTTTGAAGAATAGAAAAATAGAAAACAATACCAAATCGCCCAAAGCAATTCAGACATAAATTTCTCAACTGCCAAAACCCGTTAGACAATGAGATGGGAAAATGGGTATACATGGGTTACGTTGAAATATTTGCTGCCAGGGTAAGATGTTGATTACACATAATTTTGCAGTTTGGCCAATACTTCACATGCATAGTCATGGTTTTACCCTCCATTGTAACTGCTTCTGGAATGTGCATTCAAAACTATCCTATTCCTGTATCATCAAAATGACCTCCACATCCCTCCATTACTTCACATATTTTCAACACAACTTGACAATTGATCCAAAGATTAGAAGGAAAATCAAATGGACAATAATTAATCGAACGATGAGACACTTGAGACAAATCCTGTTGTCCATCACATAAGCATGCTTAATCATCCCTTGCTTTATCTTTTGCTGAAGATTCTCTAGAATGCTGCATATAAATGAGTGAACTCTGCCAATTGCATGGTTTTCATTTCAAGAGGCCACATACTGGAAAAGATGGGTCAATGCCATGAAAGAAACAACTTGGCAACCTCAAACTACATAGAAATTGGTCCAAAAAGAGAAGGTCTAGAATATAATCAAATAAAGGAAAAACTTTTGACTGAGTTACCAAGCTAGACATGAGTAGATAATTAAACAAAGAGTTATTGACAATGTATCAGATGAGCTACAGTATCAAGTAATGCAATTTATATACTGATGAAAAGAAAAGAGAAAAAAGCAAGCATGCAAGAAGAACATAAAATTTTACCTGGATATATGGGTAAGTGTTGGCAGCTGCATTATCACCAATAAGCATCGAATCACACTGAGAAGAGTTCCGAGCATTATCTGCCCTTGACTGAACCTGAACAAGCCCCCTATAACAGTTCTGTGAATTTCCAGCCGAAATTCCCTTTGAAATAATTCTACTTCGAGTATTCTTTCCCTTGTGAATCATTTTTGTCCCCGTGTCAGCCTGCTGATAGTTATTGGTCAGTGCCACAGAATAGAACTCCCCCACTGTATCATCGCCCTCCAAAACAACGCTTGGGTACTTCCAAGTAATCGCAGACCCAGTCTCCACCTGCGTCCACGATATCTTTGACCGAGCCCCAGCACAAAGACCCCGCTTTGTAACAAAGTTATAAATCCCTCCCTTCCCTTGCTCATCCCCAGCATACCAATTTTGCACCGTGGAGTACTTAATCTCCGCATCCTCAGTGCAGTACAACTCAACCACGGCAGCATGAAGTTGATTCCTATCATAAGAAGGTGCAGTGCACCCCTCCAAATACTCCACGAAACTCCTATCATCGGCAACTATAAGGGTCCTCTCAAATTGCCCGGTTTCCAATGCATTTATGCGAAAATAAGTCGAGATTTGCATAGGGCACTTGGTATCCTTAGGTATGTAACAAAACGATCCGTCACTAAACACAGCTGAATTTAAAGCTGCATAGTAATTATCATCAGGTGGAACAACCGTACCTAAGAACTTCCTAACTAAATCAGGGTATTCCCTAATGGCCTCTGTTATTGAACAAAAAATCACACCCGCCTTCTCTAAAGTCTTCCTATGAGTCGTAGCGATCGATACACTATCAAGAACAGCATCAACAGCAACATTAGCCAATCGATTTTGTTCATTCAAAGGAAC